AATCTGGGCGTTTTGTTGACGAGAGTCCAACAATGTCGGGTTGGTACTTCGTGGCCTCATCAACTAATTCCTGTTCTTTTCCTCTGAGTGAGGATATGTTCCTGTTATATTTCATATCCATAATATCCAGTGTGCATACAGGAACGTAGCTGCACAAATAAACAGTTGCGGACAGGTAGCCGTGAGCCACTAGGGAGTGGCCGGTTTGCATCTCGACAAGTTCGATCCTCGGAAAAAAGTCACAATGCTCAATGACGGTCTTATCATCTTCAAAAAAAGCCGCCAGTGTCACCGCTGGCTTCCGACTAGACGCTGGTTCGTCAAAGACGAGAAGAGACAATTTCGATTAAAGGAACCAGACGGAACTGGGGTACCAATTTGCATGAAATCCTCCAGACGCCGTCACTCCCACCAGTGAGTGGCAAAACTTCGTGCGCTATAACAACACGATTAAATGGACTTCAGTACTCAGCACCTCACTCGACCCGTTTCACGGAGGCGGTTCGGTATTCAACTGAAGAAAGGCTGCTAAAAATTTCTGGTGAACGGGTGCAATCTGGCAAACAAATCCTGACTTTTCTCGTCGCTTGCATCTACAACTGTAGAACACTGGCGAGGGAATGGATAGTTTTGTTCAAGAATGGCGAGAAGGAAAATCTGAAAAATTATTACCCAATATTGCCTGCTCTCTAAGATCGTCACCAAGAGATTGTCAACAAATCCGGACGAACAGCAGCCAAGTGAATAGGCAGGTGTCCGAATGAGCTACAGTACAAAAGATAAGCTTAACCATAATTCGACTACGACAAAACATTTGACACTGTCGAGCGTAACGTACTGTCGACTGCAATGAGAGAACAAGGCATCGACACCCGTTAAATAAACTTGTTAAAGGAAGAGAACTCTAGCTGCTTCAGAAACATCCTGCTGTTCGACATTCTCCTCAGGATTTCCGTAGAGACGGACATGAAAACAAGGAGAAACTATCTTCCGCAAACTCTTCACTAATTGCAGCTGTTTGGAAATGATGTTCGGGAAGATGAACTTGAAGAATGGGATTAATATCAACGGTGAACAGCTCAGGCGCCAAAGATCCGCTGATGACGTGGTGCTCTCTGTGCAAAACATTAATCAGCTACAAAACATGATGCAAGAGCTCAGCAAAACAGTGGAGCAATCGGACTGTCAAAGACAAAGATACTGAATACGAAACCCAGTGTCCTGCTGAATACCCAGGTAATATTAAAGAGCGAGATTAACGTACTGCATGATCAGGCTGGAGAGATTCAATGGATAAAGAAGATCGGTTGTCATGCGATCTATTCAATCAAGAAAGACCTCCTCGGAAAATCAGGAAGGATAGCCGTTTTAACCACTTTAATTACGCTGTCCTACCGCCAGTTGTATGGCTGTGAGACGTAGTCACTCACTGAAGCTGAAGAGCGTCAGCCATGGTAACGTCACCGAGAGGCATCAAAAGAATGCTGAAAATTTCGCGTGGCGACCACATATCCGAAACGATGAATAGACGGGGGACGGGAGTAAAAGACGTTATCATCGAAAGCAGAATGGAGAAGTTACGGTGGGCAGGGAATGTAGGTCAGTCTACTGGCGGGAGATGGTGGGCAATGACCACCCTGGTACACTTCCCATCGGACTAGGCTGTGTAGTCGCCCACCACGATGCTGGAAAAATTATATCAAGAACCGAGAAAGCCGCACTTGGAGAGAAAGAGAGGGAGAGGGAGGGCTCGAAACCGTGAGGAATGGCAGATGAGTTGTGGACGGTGTGATTCGTCGCCGATTACCAGACGGTCTAAGTCATTAATCAGATAAAACTTTAACCATTCACATATCATGTAAAGTAAATGTATAAAAATCTTGACAATATTACGTCGAATAAAAAAATTAACGCCGCGTTATTTGAAAAGCGACCGATATCTTCAGATAGAGCAAAATAACAACCATTAACATCAGAACATGTAAAAACGCCCATTAAAGTGAAAAAAATGTGCAGTAAGGATAAGTTAGAAAGCAAACGAAGCAGTCTGTTTTCATTAAGGACGAATGAGAGATAACTTCAAGATGGTGCAACTCTTCGCCAGTAAAAAAACGTGAAGCATACTGGTAATAGGAGAGCAGAAAGAAGATTCCGCAACGAAAATAATGTCTGACCTAGAAAGTTCAACGAAGAATGGTTTTTCATTAAGAATGGTTGCCTAAACAGGAATAATATCTCTGATTTAATATCTGGCTAGTGGACTGCTAATAGGAAACTGTTAATTGTGAGTCAGCCCCTTGCCAAACCTGAAAGCGAACTCAGTAATATTGATGATGTGCGATTTGGTCATAACAATGTATTTCGAAACGATCCAAGCGTGAGTCGACATGCCTAGTTTGATTCAGCGAAATGCATGTGTGGAGTCACTCCGAAGGTCATCATGTTAACTTAGGGCATAACAGAATTTTGTAAAGGTCTTCGAATTGTCGTGAAATAATATCAAATCGAACTATTCTCACAGTGCGCGCGATTCCTTACGGGTAAAGGAACGGAAGTTTAAAGAGATTCATCCAACAGTTCCAGTTCTCTGTCAAGGTGACAAGTGAAATAAGCGCATTCAACGTACTCGAGTTATTTAGCTCTCAGTCTGTTTTTTGACCGCCTGCAAAGTAGCACTGCGAAGAATTTTCGGCTAGTTTCTCCACTGATATTCATATCACATGTTCAAACCATGACAATGCATTTCAGCCAATTTTCATAAACAAGTCAGCTGATATTGCTTTGCATTTTTAAATATCTGCAGTTATGATAAGAGATTTTTAGCTCACTCTAAAAGACTGAAAGAGCATTTTCAGCGTTTTGCTACGAAACTTTTAAAAAAGCATCTTCATATGCTAATTTCAAATTGGTCTGACTGAAGGTTATGAATAATAATAAATTCTTTAATATTGCAAGCGATTTTAATTACGTTTCAAACAGATCTTCAAGGCATCGAATAAGCAATCGAATTTACTCTTAGGCAAAGTAAATAAGATATCTGCCGCTTGACCACAAGCTATTTTATCAATGTTTCGCAGAGAAAATCAAGCTAGCGTTTCATCAGCATGCAGGAACAAGCTACGAAACAATAAATTAATATATCATAGGAATTTACTTTATGCAACTTCGCTTTGCTTTGATTATAGCCAATGCTTCGTGAACTCCAATGTTCAACTTCTTCATCAAATAGGCAGCAACGACCGTGGCACTTCTTGACACCCCAACTTGGCTATAAAGCATAACATTTCATAAAATTCACCTGTCAGAACGGATGCTTGCAACTTGCTGCAAAAAATGATCACGTGTAACGCCATCAATAACTGGGAAAAAGAGCAACTATGATGACAGGAGAAAAACTACAACATCGGTGCCTGCCAATAATCACACAGCATCTGCTTGCTCCTGACGTTGGGCTCTTGTAGTTACTCATTATTCCCTATCAATGTTTCACGAACTCCCGTTGAAGTGAGGAACTGAAAATGATGCAAGAGAACGCGTCGGCATGCTGAGACGAGGTTATCCGCTGTGATGTTTGCCCGTGACCAAAATCTCAAAAACTGCTCTACTTCTTTGAATTCGTTTGGTTGACAGAAATCGGGGAGGCAGGCAATAGTTCAGAATAATTGGTACCCCTAAT